GCCCTACTGGGTCAGACCAAAGGGCCATCTAGCCCAGTATCCTGTCTTCCAACACTTTCCAGTGCCAGGTGCCCCAGAGGGAATGAACAGAACAGGCAATCATTAAGTGATCCATCCCGTCGCTCATTCCCAGCTTCTGGGAAATAGAGACTAGGAACACCATCCCTGCCCATCCTGGCTAATAGCCACTGATGGACCTATCCTCCATGAATTTATCTAGTTCTTTTTCAAACCCTGTTATAGGCTTGGCCTTCACAACATCCTCTGGCAAGGAGTTCCACAGGTTGACTGTGCATTATGTGAAAAAATACTTCCTTTTGTTTGTTTTAAACCTGCTGCCTATTAATTTCATTTGGTGACCCCTAATTCTTGTTTTATGAGAAGTAAACACTTCCTTATCTACTTTCTCTATACCAGTCATGATTTTATAGACCTCAATCATATCTCCCCTTAGCCGTCTCTTTTCCAAGCTGAAAAGTCCCAGTTTTATTAATCTCTCCTCATATGGAAGCTGTCCCATACCCCTAAACATTTTTGTTGACCTTTTCTAAACTTTTTCCAATTCCAATATATCTCTTTTGAGGGGGGGCGATCACATCTGCACACAGTATTCAAGATGTGGGCGTATCATGGATTTACATAGAGGCAATATATTTTCTGTCCTATTATCTATCCCTTTCTTAATTATTCCCAGCATTCTGTTTGCTTTTTTGACTGCCGCTGCATATTGAGTGGATGTTTTCAGAGTACTATCCACAATGAGTCCAAGTTTCCTTTCTTGAGTGGTAACAGCTAATTTAGACCTCATCATTTTATATGTATAGTTGGGATTATGCTTTCCAATATGCATTACTTTGCATTTATCAACATTAAATTTCATCTGCCATTTTGTTGCCCAGTCACCCAGTTTTGAGAGATTCTTTTGTACCGCTTTGAAGTCTGCCTGGGTCTTAACTATGTTTGGTAATTTTGTATCATCTGCAAATTTTGCCACCTCACTGTTTACCCCTTTTTCCAGATCATTTATGAATATGTTGAATAGGATTGATCCCAGAACAGACCCCCTGGGGGACACCACTATTTACCTCTCTCCATTCTGAAAACTGAGCATTTATACCTACGCTTTGTTTCCTATCTTTTAACCAGTTACCGATCCATGAGAGGAACTTCCCGCTTATCCAGTGGCAGCTTACTTTGCATAAGAGCCTTTGGTGAGGGACCTTGTCAAAGTCTTTCTGAAAATCTAAGTACACCTCTACCCCGATATAACGCGACCCGATATAACACGAATTTGGATATAAAGCGGTAAAGCAGTGCTCCGGGGGGGGGGGCCCTGCACACTCCGGTGGATCAAAGCAAGTTCAATATAACGCGGTTTCACCTATAATGTGGTAAGATTTTTTTGGCTCCCAAGGACAGCATTCTATCAAGGTAGAGGTGTACACTATATCCACTGGATCCCCTTGGTCCACATGCTTGTTGACCCCCCTCAAAGAATTCTAGTAGATTGGTGAAGCATGATTTCCCGTTACTAAAACAACGTTGACTCTTCCTCAACAAATTATGTTCATCTATATGTCTGACAATATTGTTCTTTATTATAGTTTCAACCAGTTTGCCCGGTACTGAAGTCAGGCTTACAGGCCTGTAATTGCTGGGATCACCTCTGGAGCCTTTTTTAAAGATTTGCATCACATTAGCTATCCTCCAGTCATCTGGTACAGAAGCTGATTTAAAAGATAGGTTACAGACTACAGCTAGTAGTTCTGCAATTTCACATTTGAATTCCTTCAGAACTCTTGGGTGAATACCATCTGGCCCTGGTGACTTATTGCTGTTTAATTTATCAATTTGTTCCAAAACCTCCTCTAATGATACCTCAATCTGTGACAGTTCCTCAGATCGGTCACCTAAAAAGAATGGCTCAGGTTTGGGAATCTCCCTCACATCCTCAGCCGTGAAGACCACTGCAAAGAATTCATTTAGTTTCTCCGCAATGGCCTTATGATCCTTGAGTGCTCCTTTAGCACCTCGGTCATCCAGTAGCCCCACTGGTAGTTTAGCAGGCTTCCTGCTTCTGATGTACTTAAAAAAAAAATGCTATTACTTTTTGAGTCTTTGGCTAACTGTTCCTCAAATACTATCACCCCTATTGTTTTTCCCCCTCTGGATTAATTGATTTATTTAAATATTTATTGTCAAGCCCTTCCAGAATCATTATGGGTATAGACCTTCACATTTGTGAAAATTAGGTATAAAGCCTCTTTTAAATAGGGGGGACAAAAGATGCTGGTGTTTTCTGTCCTGGGGTTTTTGGTTGGTTGGTTGGTTTTGGGTTTTTTGCATATCCTGTTCGCTTTTCACTTGAGCGGTGTAGTCATGATTCAATGTGTTATGTAATCTATGCCATGCAATGAGGTAAAACAAGTTCAGGAAACAAAATCAAGGAGACGTTTTACTACCTGAACTCTCTAGAGAGGTGATCTGGGTACTTAAACTTCTTGTGAAGGGCACCTTAAAGACTAACAGATTTATTTGGGCATAACCTTTCGTGGGTAAAAAACCCACTTCTTCAGATGCATGGAGTGAAAATTACAAATATGGGCATAAATATATATTGGCACATGAAGAGAAGGGAGTTACCTTACAAGTGGAGAACCAATGTTGAAGGCCAATTCAGTCAGGGTGGATGTGGTCCACTCCCAATAATTGATGAGGAGGTGTCATCAAGAGAGGGAAAATTGCGTTTGTAGTGAGCCAGCCACTCCCAGTCCCTATTCAAGCCCAAATTGATGGTGTTAAGTTTGCAAATGAATTGTAGCTCAGCAGTTTCTCTTTGAAGTCTGTTTTTGAAGTTTTTTGTTGTTGAAGAATGGCTACTTTTAAATGTGTAATTGAGTGTCCAGGGAGATTGAAGTGTTCTCCTACTGGCTTTTGTATGTTACCATTCCTGATGTCTGATTTGTGTCCATTTATCCTTTTATGTAGAGACTGTCCAGTTTGGCCAATGTACATGGCAGAGGGGCATTGCTGGCACATATCACATTAGTAGATGTGCAGGTGAATGAGCCCCTGATGGTGTGGCTGGTGTGGTTGGGTCCTATGATGGTGTTTCTAGAGTAGATATGGGGACAGAGAAGGCAATGGGGTTTGTTACAGGGATTGGTTCCTGGATTAGTGTTTCTGTGGTGTGGTGTGTAGTTGCTGGTGAGTATTTGCTTCAGGTTGGGGGGCTGTCTGTAAGTGATGATTAGCCTGCCTTCCAAGGCCTGTGAGAGTGGGGGATCGTTTTCCAGGATAGGTTGTAGATCGTTGATGATGCGCTGGAGAGGTTTTAGCTGGGGGCTGTACGTGATGGCTGGGGCTGTTCTGTTGTTTTCCTTGTTGGGCCTGTCCTTTAGTAGGTGACTTCTGGGTACCCATCTCACTCTATCAATCTGTTTCCTCATTTCCCCAGGTGGGTATTGTAGTTTTAAGAATACTTGATAGAGATCTTGTAGGTTGTATCTTAAGGCTTGGCTGTAGACAATGGATCATGTGATGTATCCTGGATGGAAGCTGGAGGCATGTAGGTAAGTATAGCCATCAGTAGATTTCCCATATAGGGTGGTGTTTATGTGACCATCATTTATTTGCACTATAGTGTCCAGGAAGTGGATCTCGTGTGGACTGGTCCAGGCTGAGGTTGATGGTAGGGTGTAAATTGTTGAAATCCAGGTGAAATTCTTCAAGAGCCTCCTTCCCGTGGGTCCATATGATGAAGATGTCATCAATGTAGCGGAAATAGAGGAGGGACGCTAGGGGACGAGAGCTGAGGAAGCGCTGTTCTTAAGTCAGCCATAAAAATGTGGGCATACTGTGGGGCCATACGGGTACCCATAGCAGTGCCACTGACTTGAAGGTATAAGTTGTTCCCAAATCTGAAATGGTTGTGGGTGAGGACTAAGTCACAAAGCTCAGCCACCAGGTCTGCCACGGCTTCATCAGGGATACTCTTCCTGACAGCTTGTAGTCCATCCTCGTGTGGAATATTGGTGTAAAGAGCTTCGACATCCATGGTGGCCAGGATGGTGTTTTCAGGAAGATCACCAGTGCATTTTAGTTTCCTCAGGAAGTCAGTGTTGTCTCGCAGATAACTAGGAGTGCTGGTAGCGTAGGGTCTGAGGAGAGAGTCCAAATAGCCAGATAATCCTGCTGTAAGAGTGCCAATGCCTGAGATGATGGGGCGTCCAGGATTTCCAGGTTTTTGGATCTTGGGTAGCAGATAGAATACACCTGGTCGGGGCTCTAGGGGTGTGTCTGTGCAGACTTGTTCCCATGCTGTAGCAGGGAGTTTCTTGAGCAGATGGTATAGTTTCTTTTGGTGGTACTCAGTAGGATCGGAGGATAGTGGCATGTAGAATGTGGTGTTGGAGAGCTGTCTCGCAGTCTCCTGTTCTCCAGATGGTCGAAATGACAGACTGTACTTCTACATAGAGTGCTTCCGCAGACGTGCACAGGCTGAAATGGTGAACAAAGAGCATCACTTTCCCGATAACCTCAGCTGTACAGAATGCAACGCCATCCACAGCCTCAGGAACAACTCTGACATTATAATCAAAAGGGCTGACAACAGCGGTGCTGTAGTCATGAACAGGTCGGATTATGAACAGGGGGCTGCCACCAGACAACTCTCGAACACCACATTCTACAGGCCACTATCCTCCGATCCCACTGAGGAATACCAAAAGAAACTACACCATCTGCTCAAGAGACAAGGTGGGTGACCAACTGGTGTGGGTGAGCGAGACAAGCTTTTGATCTCTTGTTGAGCCCACCAGGGTACACCAGAGAGCATTTCCCGTAGGAAAGGTCGTGTACATTGTAAGTACAGCAGCGTTCCTGAGACTGAAACCGAAAGCACTGGCAGTGAAGACGAGTGCGGGCAGCGCTGCTGGGCGGATGTACACGCCGGGGGGGCGGGGAGCGCTCCTATCACTTCTTCGCCCTACAGCCCAGCCCCCCAGGGTGCGCCGGCGGCCGAGCGGCCTTTGGCACCGCGATTGCCCAGCGGCCGCTCCCCCCGGGGCAGCGCCGTCTCCTGGCTGCAAACCGGTCCCTGGCCGGGCAGAAAGCTCCGCTCCCAGCGCCGCAGGGGCGCCCGGCTATTACCACATGTGACTCAGCCCGCCCCCGGGGCGTGCCCGCCCGGGCGCCCAGGTGCGGCGAGTTTGCGCTCTCCCTCCTGTCCCCGCAGCCCGGGGCGCGGCCGGGCTCTTGGCGGTGCAGGTGCAGGGGGCCGGCGGCAGCGCCGCGGAGAAGCCCCGCTGCCCGGGAAGATGCGACTGGGCTGGAGCCGTGAGTAGGCGCCGCGCACAGGCGGGAGTGTGAACTCGCGGGCTGCCCCACTGCCTTGGGGCCGGGCTGGAGGCTGCGGGCGCGGGGAAGGGGTGGCGGGCGCTGCTCGCTTCTCCCGGGGGCTGAGGGCAGTGGGGCGGGCAGATCCCCTCTCCCCGCGGCCCCCTTGCAGGGGTGTCGGGCTGGCCGCAAGAGCTCAGGGCTCAGCTTCCTGCTTCCCTCGGGCCGGGCGGGTGTGCTTGGCAGCCCAGCTCTGGACCCGGAGAAGAAGCCTGTTGCTGCTTCTTGATGTTTGTCCCCCGATCGCTTCCGGGAGGCGCTTGGGACATTAGACGTGTTGGGGCTTCTCGTCCCCACTCCCATTCCTGCTTCTCTTTGCACTTCTTCTGGGCGTCTACCCTCTCCCCAGCCGCACCGGCTGGGACCTGCTCTCTGCCCCGTCTGGCCACCTCTACACTTCCATGTTTGATTGGCTCAGGCACGGGTGTGTCAGCGCTAGTGCATGTACTCACCACAAATGCTTGCATTGATGTAAAATGTAGTGCCCCACAGATAGGTAACTACCCCAGCGTGCCCTGCACCGCCTGGCTCTCTGCCTTGTGGATCATTTGCACAGTGTTCTGTGGGATACCGGTGATTTGCGAGGGGATTTTGAGGAGCAAGGGGTCATGTTCTGGAACCCCACTGAACTCAGGTGGGGTGATAGCACACACATAGAATCATAGACTATTAGGGTTGGAAGGGACCTCAGGAGATCATCTAGTCCAACCCCCTGCTCAAAGCAGGACCAATCCCCAGACAGATTTTTGCCCCATCCCTAAATGGCCCCCTCAAGGATTGAACTCACAACCCCCCATCTCTTTGCCACCAAGTATATCAACAGAGAGGGATATTTTTTCATGTTTAGATAACTGCTAGTGAATCAGTGATATCAAGTTACACTGGTTAGGGAAGGTGCATGATGTTTGCATATTTAAGAACATGTGATTTTAAAAAAAAAACTGCAAGAAGGGACATTTTCCCCAACAGACAGATTACCACAGCAGATATTGAAATGCCAATATTGATCCTGGGGGGGATACAGCCTATCCCTTGCTCCTCTGGCTCATGAAGCTGTACACTGGTCACCTTGGCAGCATCAAGGACAGATTCAACTACCATCTCAACAGGTGCAGAATGACTGTAGAATATGCTTTTGGTACCGATTGAATGGACGCTAGCATGGCTTATTCAGTAGGTTGGATCTCAGAGAGGAAAAATATCCTCCTAGTTATAACTACATGTTGTGTAATGCATAATATCTGTGAGGCAAAGGGGTAAAAGCTGCCATCAGGATGAAGGGGTGAGATGGACAGACTGTCTGCTGAATTTGAACAGCAAGAGGCAAGGGCTATTGGAACAGCTAACTGTGGAGCTTTGCAGCTGAGGGAGATCTTAAAAGGCCAGTTTAACAGTCAGCCATAGTGGTGTTGTCTAATGTTATTAAATAAAGTCTCTTGGGTGTTCTTACTATGGGTGGGGCTTTGCTTCCTGCTATTGGCTGTAATTCCTGGTGTAAACTAATAAAGAACTTCATTATGGGCAAAGAAGCAGAGAGCAAAGTCAAAGTGCAAACAAACAAATACGAAGTTGAAAAATCTTTTACCCACATTGTGACTTTGAAATCCCAAGTGAAAACAGAGGTAGGGTAGGGGAATATTTATGTCCATGTATCTGAAACCTGCAACAGTGTGGCTACATATACACTGCCAGGTGGTTTTCACAGGTACTGATGTATGTGTAGCTATTGTTCTCCTTGTTGTTCAGTGTGGAGTGATAGGCATAAAGATGTACACCATGGTGCCAGGTGGCATGGTGGTGGGGGTGTAGTGAGCAGCGACTAGTTTTAAATGAGGAGGAAGGCGGGGGGAAGGAGAGAGAGATGAGCACACATTGGAAAAATTAACAAGCTTGCAGTTATGTAAGTAAACCACAAGAATGCGATAACTGAGTCCTTCGTCTAATTAGGCCTTCTGCTCTTTTGTATCTTTTTTAGGCACCAATATGCTTTTGACTAATTTATTTGCTCTTTCAGCACCACGTCCATTACAGAATTTGACCAAACCAATAATTAAAAACTAATAATAATAATAAAACCCCCAACTGAACAATAAGAAACACTTGACTGATGCTCAACTGGGTGGACAGGCCTGCAGAGCCCTTGCTATTTTTTTTAAAGTTCTAAAATCAATTATTTTTTTCTGTGATTTTTAGTTCTAAAAATTTCAACCATTTTGATGCAAAAAGCTGTGACTCATCCTCCTTCACAAATATAGGCTTGTGGTAGAAACCTGGATCTTTAACTTTTACATTCCATCAGAAACTTTTCACCTTCTTTTTTCTGGCTTGACCTCTGACCTTTTTATTTTGGCTCAGTAACAGGTTCTCTGAATCATTTTCAATTTGGTCCTTGTGTTGTTCCATTTCCTAGTTAATTAGATCAGGCCAAGTTTTCACTGAGACTGCAGTGATTTATAATACACCTATACCCCGATATAACGCTGTCCTCGGGAGCCAAAAAATCTTACCACGTTATAGGTGTAACCGTGTTATATCGAATTTGCTTTGATCCGCCAGAGTGCGCAGCCCCCCGCTCCCCCCCGGAGCACTGCTTTACTGCGTTATATCCGAATTCATGTTATATCGGGTTGCGTTATATCGAGGTAGAGGTGTATATTGTGTCTGTCCTGGTAGATCTGACTTCCATGGGCTCTGTAGACTTCCCCAGCCCAACATCTTCGGGCTTGCAAGGTTCATATTAGCACTCTACAAATAGCTGTGTAGACAGTGCTTTGAAGTTGCGACTTTGGCTTTGGAGCCTATGGAGAGCTCCTTTCTGAGGCACAACTTTAAAGCACTGTCTACAAAGCTCTTTTAGATCACTAGCCCAAGTCTGTCGACCTGGACTGGGAAGCTCACTTCTGCAGCTGTGTAGACATACCCTCTGAAGCCTCTAAGTTTGCTTTTGTAATTCTAGTGGCGTGTTATAAAAAATGTTTTTTTTTTTTTTTTTAATCGAAGGCCTTATCATAATATATGCAAATTTCAACATTATTTATGGTCGCTGGATGTGGCTGTGGAGAGAGAAACTTTTTGAGAATTCTACCAAATGTCTTGGAGAAACTGGGAACATTAAGTTCCCTTTTTTCAACCAAAATGAATCTGATGGTGGTTACAGAAGAACATCTGAATGCATTTTAGAACTGTTTAGGTATTCCTTCTTCCTCAATGAAGTTCAAATACTGTGGTGAACACTCATATATCAGAAGCTAAGGATGAATCCACCTGAGACATTCACTCATCTTTTTCATTTTACTTTTATTGCCAGAGCCAATGGCAAAGACTTCCTCAGGATATTTCTCTTCGTATTCTTGGATGGTATCTTCAGCAGCTTGGACACAATATTCTCCTTTTTTCTATTTAGAAATAAACTCAGTAGCATTAATTAGGAGTGCAGTTTTCTAAGGATGGCTGCTTATAGCTCTTGTAGGGTCATTTTTCATGTTTCATCATCTTTCCTTAATGTCAATTCTGATCCTTTTAGTTCTTCCTTTACTATTTCCTCTATTTCCGTTGGAGTACTTAACTCTGTTGTGAAGACATAACCTTAACTTGAGTTATTTAAAGTTGCGTCTCTTGAGCTAGGCTAACTTGAGTGAATGTGGACACACTTTGAACTTGTCTTCACTGCAAAGTTAACTCAACATAGAACTTGAGTGTTGTGTCTAACTTGAGTCCCACGTCCACACAAACTCTGAACTTGAATGTGGTGGTGCTTTTAACCCTTGTTGGCTGTCCCGTTGGGGGGTATATGCTAACGCTTGAGTTAGCACAACTCATCAGCTGCTAACTTGTGTCCACGCTAGAGAGTGGTCTTGTTATCTCCCTTCAGATGCTGCTAGTCCTCCAGCACTTTTCCACAATTCCTCCTAGGTGTCCAGGAAATATAGAAAAGTCCTCCCACAATTCACTGGGAAAGAATTCATGGAGCAACTCAGCTAACTGCAACAATAAAAACCCTGTGATATGCCCCCAGAAGTCTTAGGCTATGTCGTTACTGACAAAAATGGTGTGTTTTTACCACAGGATAACTAACAAATATGTTAGCTATACTGCTGTAAAATCCTGGTGGAGATAAGGCACTACTTTTATTGAAAAGTAAACTAGGTGACGTCAACTACAGACAGGAATATAGTACTGGCCTCATCCAAAGTATCTTGAGATAAACAATATAAGTGCTTTGTCTGTATTTAGGATTTTACAGTGGGATAACTGTTGTCTGTTATCTAGCTGTAAACAAACAAACAAAAATCCACCATCCCGCACACCTTTGTGTTAGTGAAGACAGAAGTGTAATGCCACACGAGTGAGTGCTGTGCCTGTGTGGACAAATTAGCTCAAGTGTTACGTGTTACTTTGGTGTGTGGCTGCTCCCGCTAGGGCTAGGCTAGCTCAAGAGGAATACTCAAGCATAGAAAACTTGAGTTAATTTTTCAGTGGAGACAATCACGAAGAGTGGGTCTGTCGGTTGAAATTTGTCTGGAGGAGTATACCCAAGGCTAAGTGCATCAATTATTTCTTTAAAATGCTTATTTTGTACTTCATTTACGGTAATGTGTAAAGGAAGGTTGCAAGGTTTGTTTTTTTTTTAATCAAGTGGAAAATTTTGCTTTTCAGATTTGTTTTAAATGGCATAAACACTGATTGACCTTTTGCCTTTCTTTGGATGCTGAAAATGAACAAAAGACTTCTCTTGAATTAAGCTAATGTTAAAAAGCTAAATAAGCCTGGAACAAGGTTCTTAACAGAACAGTGTGGATATTTTTTATGATAATGAAAATCTCTCACATGATCACCAAACTCATCAAAGTTCTGCTCTTTCACTTTGACAATTATATTCAGTGTCACATTTGATCTGCAAAAGGTGAAAGAAACTGAGTTTCTGCACTTTTTTGAGGGTGACCATGAATCCTGTCTAGCTTGCTGCTTAGCAGCTCTTGACATTGTTCACATTTTACTTTAGAAGAATCCTCTATTGTCATTACTTAAATGCATTCAATTGTTTGTTTTTCTACCACTCCCTTCAACTTCAGACATGTTGAATCAGATAAATCATATGCTAGGGTTTAGCAATCAGTGAATGCTAAATAGAGCTAGCCAAAATGTACTAAGACTTGACTCAATTTTTCAATACAATTTTTTTTATTGGAAATGTAATTTTTGACATATTTTGCAAAAATTACATCCTGTTTTCTACTAGCTCTTTTTCAATATCTAATTACCTCCATCTCTAGCATAGACCATGAGCAGCTTAACTCAGTTGTTAAAAACCTGTATAAATTGGATACTAATTAGAGCTGGTCAAAATCTTTTTCCATCAGAAATGTCATTTTGTTGCAATCTAAACTCTCAGCCATGTGTCAGTGTTGATGAAATTTCATTTTAAAAAAAATCAAAATGAAGCATTCTGTTATGGTCAAAATGTTCTGTTTTGACTTCTGTGGACTGGGACATTTCAATTTTCCATTTTGAAATGACTTTTTCTCCAATTTTTATTTTACATTCTAAACTATAATATAAAAAGTCAAAATGGATACAAAATATTTTGATTTTATTGAAGTGTAATGTTTCACCTGGCCTGAAATTGGTGGGTTTTTTTTTTTTTACAAATTCCATTTTGTGGGAAATTTAGAAATTTCCACTGTGATGGGGCAAGGCCAGATGACTATAGGAAAGTAGAGTGAAACAGGTATGTTAGCCACAGGCTAAACAAATCCCTGTTACCATGGTAACCAAGTGGCAGTTGCTCCAGGTTAATCAAGACACCTGGGGCCAATTAAAAGCCTTCTAGAAAGCAGTGGAGACAGCTAGGTTGATTGGGACAAATGAAACCAATTAAGGGCTGTCTGGAACTAGTTAAAAGCCTCCCAGTTAATCAGTCAGAGGCATGTGTCAGGAGCTGTAGGAGGAAGCCGCGCTGCCTGAGAAACTGGGCAGGAAAAACCCATCAGGCACAAGGAAGGAGGCCCTGAGGTAAGGGTGAAGTATCATAGAATATCAGGGTTGGAAGGGACCTCAGGAGGTCATCTAGTCCAACCCCCTGCTCAAAGCAGGACCAATCCCCAGACAGATTTTTGCCCCAGATCCCTAAATGGCCCCTTCAAGGATTGAACTCGCAACTCTGGGTTTGGCAGGCCAATGCTCAAACCACTGAGCTATCCCTGTTGAAGAAGTGGGGGCTGCTGTGGGGAAGTGGCCCAGGGAATTGTACTCATCCTGTTTCAAAAAGTCAGCTACAAATAGCTGCTACTGTTAGGGTCCCTGGACTGGAGCCCAGAGTAGAGTGCGGGCCTGAGCTCCCTCCCTCCCCTTTCCTTGATTAATACTGTGAGACAACAGAGACTATGCGAGGGAGGGTAGCGTCTCCTCACCTCCCTTTGCTGGCTTATGATGAAAATGGCTCAGTAGGCTGTGACCCTTGCCCCTAGAGAGAGAAGGGCTATGTGGAGGGACACAGTGAGCCTCTGAGGCTAGCGTAATCCGCCTGGAAGCGCGGGACCCACTGAGACAAGGTCGGAGCTTTGTCACACCACGTAGCAAATCAGAATGAAAAAAATTCAGCATTTCAGAATTGGACGTGAAACAGAAATGTTGGTTCCTGTACAGCCCTAGTGCTAATGTTTTAACATGATTTATTTAAATGCTGTTTTAACTTACATCATTTTAAACTCAGCCCACCTACCACTCCAGCATAGACAGGACCTTGCTTGCTGGGATTGTGCTAAAGCACAGGGAATTTGTGAACTTCTTGCTCAGGAATTTGATTTGGGAACTACCCATATATCCCATATTTATTCCTGGGAAAGGAAACTTAAAAATAGACAGGAGAATCTCCAAATTTGATGTTCAGTCCTGATTTTCTTGTCTGAACTGCTGAATATTGTAAAAAAGCTCCCATGTTTTCCCTGGCCCTTCCCCATCTTCCAGCCCCCCCCAAAAGGCTGCATTTCAGTGATGGTCAAAGTAGTTCCTTAATGAACACAGTGTACATACTCACAATGTGAAGCACTTGGGTCATTTTGGGGTGAAAGATGCAGTAGAAATGTAATATTTTATTAACATGGGGGAAGAGGGGGTATGACACTTTTCTCCAGGTATACATTTTTATTTCTGGAGAAGGGGTAACCAAGTGTCTGGTACAATGTGACTGTATTTATCAGCTTCACTCCCAAAAACATAGCAAATACACACCTGTCTCCTTGCCTATATAGACACTACTATAGCTTCTACAATAGTGGTGGAAATTATAGTATAATTGAGAGCGGCTGGACTGGTGGCTGCTGTCACTCCACATCTCGCTGCAGGCTTCTGGGCCTCCAGATGTGTACAAATCTAGATTTCACAACTCCACCCTCAATCTGAACCCCAACTCTATTTACATATCTGCCTATTCAGGCCTAGCTTAGTCTCCTCCTGTATTTCAAAGAAGATACGAAGAGCCCGCTGTGAGCTATCTGTAGGGTAGGGTTTTAAACTGCCACCTATCACTGTAGCATCTGGGTGCCGCCAATCTAAAATGGATAACAATAGCTAAGTCTCTAGATGATTTCATGGAATCTCTGGCATGTCTCCTTTTCCAGGGTCAAATGTCTGCTTGGGGATAGAATGGGGTTTTTTGCTGTTAGTTGTGTTTTAAGACTTTTTTTTCTTTTTAGAGGTGGAAGGGGTTGTCATTGTTGACTGCCGCGCTCACTCTGTCTGCAGCCCCACCAAAGATCTCCAGTGGTGTGGAATGCCTGTGCATCAGGACTGAATTTCATGCTCTTAAAGTACTGTATTTGTGTAGCAGCGCCATAGAAGATACTATATTTTTAGTAGCCCTGTGTAGACTTCTTATCACGTGCTGCCTTTTTTCGCATTAAATAATGGATTTGTTGTTTCTTATCAGACCTTGTGAAGTTATCAGGACTTATGTTAGCATCAGTGTGTGCTTGGTATTTGGGATACCTGTTTGCAGATATCGTACCTGAAGATTCGCTATCATCAGCTATCGAAAATCTTCAGAGTATTGGAGAGAAACCAGTACTTAAGGGTATGTGGTCACATGACTTTTTTTCTACTAATATGCAGTATATTATAAGTGAAGCACAGTGTTTGTAATTTAACCTGCAAATGAGTTGTTAGTTACTGAATAATTGGTTATGTGTTGCTCTCCTAAGAGGGCTGTCGATTAATCACAGTTAACTCACACGATTAACTAAAAAAAAACTGCGATTAAAAAAATCAGTTGTGATTAATCAGTTTTAATCGCACTCTTAAACAATAGAAATTTATTAAATATTTTTGGATGTTTTCTACATTTTCAAATATATTTATTTCAGTTTCAACACAGAATACAAAGTGTACAGTGCTCACTTTATATTATTTTTATTACAAATATTTTCACTGGAAAAATGATAAAAAATAATTTTCAATTCACCTCAGACAAGTATTGTAGTGCAATCTCTTTATTGTGAAAGTGGAACTTACAAATGCTGCATAACTGCACTCAAAAACAAAACAATGTAAAACTTTAGAGCCTACAAGTCTACTCAGTCCTCCTTCTTGTTCAGCCAATCACTAAGAGAAAAAAGTTTGTTTACATTTATAGGAGATAATGCTGCCCGCTTCTTATTTACAATGTCACTTGAAAGTGAGAACAGGAGTTCACATGGCACTTTTGTAGCCAGCATTACAAGGTATTTACGCGTCAGATATGCTAAACGTTCGTATTCCCCTTCATGCTTTGGCCACCATTCCAGAGGACAAGCTTCCATGCTGAAGATGCTCATTAAAAATAATGTGTTGATTACATTTGTGACTGAACTTCTTGGGGGGAGAATTATGTCTCCTGCTCTGTTTTACCTGCATTCTGCCATATATTTCATGTTAGAGCAGTCTCGGATGATGACCCAGCACATGATGTTCATTTTAAGAACACTTTCACTGCAGATTTGACAAAATGCAAAGCAGGTACGGCACTTGACTCAAGGTTTAAGAATCCAAAGTGCCTTCCAAAATCTGAGAGGAACAAGGTGTTGAGCATGCTTTCAGGAGTCTTAAAAGAGCAACACTTTGATGCAGAAACTGCAGAATGTGAACCACCAAAAAAGAAAATCAACCTTTTACTGGTGGCATCTGACTCAGATGATGAAAATGAACATGTGTTGGTCCGCACTGCTTTGGATCGTTATTAAGCAGAACCCATCATGAGCATGGACGCATATCCCCTGGAATGGTGGTTGGAGCACGAAGGGACATATGAATCTTCAGCGCATCTGGCACATAAATACCTTGCGACGCTGGCTACAAAAGTGCCATGCGAATGCCTGTTCTCACTTTCAGGTGACATTGTAAGCAAGAAACGAGCAAAATTATCTCCTGCAAATTGTAACCAAACTTGTTTGTCTGAGCAGTTGTCTACGTTTGCAGTACTCTAGAACACTGGTCGAAAGATCATCTCAGAGGACTGCTGGGACCCATTCTCCCCAATCAAATTCCTCTTTCCGCTCTACCCTCATTTGGCAAGCAGGTGCCAATTTCAAGCTCATATAAATCTGCGGTGTTTAATTAATTGGTCATTTTGGTATATGAATGGTGTTTACATAGTGCTCAAACAAAGCAGGTTCTGCTTTCTTATTCACTACAGCGCCACCCCCCAAAAGACAGAAATGTGACCATTGGTCTCCGTGCTCACCTGGGAGCTATGCTTATCGAATACTCAGTGGTGGTGGCAAGGAAAAGTTTGCCAAAATTTGTTTTGAAGATGAGCTGTAAGTACCAGTCTACTTTAAGTCGAAGCAAGGACTGCCTGGAACAATAGGGACATTTTGGTTTAGCAACAGAGTAAATGTTTATTATTAAGAGACATTCCTTGGATTAACGCAAACTTTGTAACACAAAACCACCAGTCTTGGGGTTTTCCCCTTTCAATACTATTTACCATGCTATGCTCCTGAAGTCACTCAAGCAAGAAACCACCTCCTCTGTAAAGTATAGGTGTGATTCTAGGACAGTCACACAGCAAATGAGGCACACTTGGAAATCCAGAGGTGGGATTCATTTAGATGTTGTGATTTTTAATTTAATGATTCTAAACTTTTTTTTAAATCCTCATCAATTTTGTTACCTCTGATCCATGTGTTTTCTCCCTTTGGATAGCTCATTGCTTTCTCATCATTGTGTCAAAATGCTGTTTTCATTGAAGTCAGTGCCAACATTTTCACTGACTTTACTGAGGCAAAAATTTGACTCGGTGTCCTTCTTTCTGTGCAGCTGACACACCCCTGACATTTTAATTTCTCTCTCTTCTGACTACATGATTGGCTTCATTGTGTCAACTCTTGGATCTCTTATAACTTTAAACCCTGAATAATTCTGTTCCATCTGTGTAGAGAATAACCCCACCCTTTTTTTTTAGCCCATTACAAACACTAAACCCCACCTAACTTTCTCTGTTCCATTGCATCTTTCCAATCTCCCTCGCTGTATGTATTCTGAAAGTATACTTCTGTTTCTTTGACACTTTAGATTTTTTCCTGTTAGTCTACTTTGTCATTTTGTTTTCTCTGTGCTTGTGTCACTAAAGTAGTCTTTCTGTTCTATTTCTAACTTTTTTTTTAACCTTGCATCTTGGCTTTTCTCTTTTTGTTCATATAAACTGCTTTGGGCCAAGATTTTCAAAAGTGACTAATGATTGTGGGTGCCTCAGGTTTCAGATGCACAGCTTGAAACACTGTAAAAGGGCCTAATTTTTAGAGGTTGGATGCTCAGTGCATTCTGAAAATCAGGCCTCTTTACAGTATCTCAAGTTAGGGACTCAAAAACTGAGGCCCTTAAAATCAATAGTCACTTTTGAAAATCTTGGTGTAGAGCTGTTGTGAAGATACACTGGCCTATTCTATAAATCTGCATGGAATGATGCCGCAAAACTAATGATTTTCTCTGGCATTATTTTTACTCTGCTTGTGCTGCACTTGTACAGGCTACAGTGTTGAACTAGACTCATTATGGGCTCTCTGGAGGAAACTGTCCAATGTGCCATAGATTTTTAAGACATGGCTCCATTGCTTTCAGCAGACTCCTCAGTTAAACGACTAACCTAAAAACAAGAATACCAGGAATGACTTTGCATAGGTAAATATCACAGCCCTTCTGGAAGTACAATTCCTGACTGATGGTGTATTTATTTCAATTTCAGGCTCATAAGTGAACAGAAGGGTAATGTTGGAAGAGGTATAAACATTGCCATCGTGAATTGTAAGTAAGAAAAGAATGTTATGGGGACAATGGTAGTACACTAAGAAAAATGATTTTGCATGTCTGAGATGCAATCTAACAGTCTTCCTTCTATATTTTTTAAACTACCATTTCCTCTCTATTGGACACTTATGAAAGTAGAGTAACGAAGCACAATAATTGTCTGTCACTCCTAGTCACTTTTAGTGTGGCCTTGCAATGTATGAATGACTGAAAACCACAGCCTTCTCTGTGGCAGTACTACAGAGACTGCCGCATTCACATCTTTCACTGCCTTAGAGGAGTTCTGTTTCCTTAAACAGCAGCAGCTGGTAACTTTCTAGTTTTATCCGATTCAAATTAATCTCAGCTTTAACAACAATAAAAAGAAGCACTTGAAGAAAAAAATCTTAGAATAGTGGGGAAACAAAAACAAACAAAAAAAAAGGCTTGTTAAATTTTCAGTGGATGAGAATGGACAACCATGAAAAGTTGTCCAAGTGGCCCTGGATTTTAAATTGGAGAGAGTAGAATTACTTTGCATGTCACATAAAAGAAATTTCTTAGTTCTCTAATAACTAGGATGAGGTGCAATATATTTAATAGTGGCCCCTCCTGTGAGGAATAAGAGTCCTGAGTCTGGAAAACAAGCTCAGATGTAGTGTGGTGTTTACTTTAACCCAAAAATGTTGCAATATAAAAAAAAAAAAATTTTTGTTCTGTTTATGCATCCATTTACCTTCCAAGTGAGTAAGCAAAGAACCAAGTTGTGTACTTTGGTGTGGCTCCAATGAGGAAGGAGATATCCTGTTTATACCAGCTGAAGAGCTGGTCCAAAATTTTCATTTCCTTGTCACCAAACTTATCTTGCATTTTTACTTTCTATTTAAAAAAAAAAAATCAAAAGGATTTAGTGACCACAGTAGACAACCAGCTGAACATGAGTTCTTCGTGTGAGACTGTAGTTAAGAGGGTGATCATGATCCTTGAAGGTATAAGTAGAGGAATATCAAGTAGGAGTAGGGAGGTGCTATTACCTCTGTACGTGGCATTAGTGAGACCATTACTGGAATATTGTGTCTAGCTCTGGGGTCTACACTTAAAGAAAATGTTGAAGAATTGGAAAGGGTTCAGAAAAGAGCAACATGAATGATTTGAGAGCAGCAAATCTTTAATAATGAGAGACTACAGAAGCTGAACCTAATTAGTTTATCCAAGAAAAGAGGTGACTTCATTGTGGTCTTCAAGTACCTCATGGGGAAGAGACAGCTGTTTAATCTAGCAGAAGAAGGCATAACACGATCCAGTGATTGGAAACTAGACAAATTCAGACTAGAAATACAGTGCAAATTTTAAACTGTGAAGGTAATTAACCATTGGAGCAACTTACTTACTAATATAGTGAATTCTCTTGAAGTCTTTACATCAAAACTAAATCTCTTTCTGAAGGATCTGCTACAACTTAAACAGACATTATGGATTTGATGTTGAAATTATTTAGTGGGGTTCTGTGGCCTGTGTTATGCAGGAGGTCAGACCAGATAATCACAGTGGTCCTTTCGGGCCTTAAAATCTGTGAAAATATTGCAGAATAGAATATCATCCATCCTTCCACTGAGAGGTAGTTTCTGGCTAAACAAATATTCACATGTACTCCTTAATTATCTTGCTTCTTTTATCCACTGGTTCAAATAGAAAAGTGGACATATCTAACATTTCAATACAGTAAAACATCCACTGCATATTTTCTAATTAATTAAACCTCTCCAACACTTTCTTTTTTGTAGCATCACTTTAATATGTTAATTCACATTGCTGTTCCCTTTCTGTTCTGAATGAACAGTTTTTGTTGTTAAGGAAGAGAAAATTATAAACCAAGATTAACAACACAGAGAGAAAAAAGCAATATTCCACATACAAGCACAGTAAAATCCAGCATCCTCAGTTTGGTGTGATCTCTGGTCTCTGCTCAGGAGAGGCCCAGGTCTGGAATGTTATTTCTCCACTTCTGGACTCTGCCTCCTGAATTGTGGAAAATAAACTTTTACAGAGTCCTGTGCTTTTAAGATACTTCCCCCTCCCCTATGATCCTGCCAAGGATGAGAGCCGAGATGAGCCGGAAAGAGGGCAGCAATTGCCAAATCTTCCCACTGAGTGGCAGCATACAGTGTTCCAGAGGAAAGCATCCTCCTCTGCCTGGACGTGTGTGTCTTATGTAACTGATAAATGCCTGACTCAGTTTGGCATTTGAAAGCGTAACATGAAAATTGGTTACTGGTTTTGCAGTTTTCCTACTAGCAAAAAAAGATGTTCCATGAATTTGTCAAAGAATTTTGAAATCTTGAGACTTACCTCCAGTTTTACATCTGTTTCATGAACTCAAAAATAGGCCCATTTGAACAACAATGAAATTAATTGTGATTATTGACCAAGATTTTCTAAAATGACTAGTGTGTCTGGGAGCCTAACTTGAGCCACTAGAAAGAGGCCAGATTTTTCAGAAAGTGCTGAGCACCTGTCCATTGAAAATTAGGGCTATTGAAATTGTCTCAATTCGGGCCTCCAAAATCAATAGCCACTTGAAAACCTTAGCCATTGTTAGGAACTAGTATAAAGTGTATATGCAAGTACCAAAGTTCATAATACAATTCACTCACTTTTTTACTTTATGTTTAAAAGAATCTCACACACACACACACACACACACACACACACACACCAGATTAATTGTCAGAACTTGGAAGGAAATCTGGCACTAATGAAAACTTGAAACCGTAATATAAAATACTAGATGCACTTATTTTTGGTTATCAGAGGGGTAGCTGTGTTAGTCTGTATCCACAAAAACAATGAGGAGTCCGGTGGCACCTTAAAGACTAACAGATTTAAAATAAATCTGTTAGTCTTTAAGGTGCCACCGGATTCCTCATTGTTTTTATTTTTAGTTATAACCATTGTTTACTTTCCCCTTACATATCCCTTTCCTTCCCCGTATTTAAAGTGTATTATTTCTTTATTGCAGATAAAACAGGAAAAGTTATATCTACAGAGTTTTTTGACATGTGGGAAGGAGGTAAGAGCCAAAGTATCACCAAATAAAAGTGGCAGAGGGTCTCTTGTAGACACTTTTCCATACAGAAGAAATTTGGACTAAAAGTATTTTTTTCAATTAAATATTTGACAGTTGCTAAAGATCTCCAAGAATGATCAGTAATTAATATAAAACAGATGGCAAAACAGATTTATCTCTGCTCATCTGGAGTACTTCACAGTTTAATACTAAAGAAAAAAACTAAATTGCGTCAGGCCTTTATTTTATTTCTAGATTGCTGTGCTATAGGCGATCAGACTAGGTGATCACGATGGTCCCTTCTGACCTTAGTCTGAGTCTAATCTGTCTCTTCCTACTTATTCCAGAGCTCCTGAGAGGTGCTGATCATTCTGTACCCTCACAGTCTTCTGTGGGAGGTGAACGCAGTCAGTACCTTTCAGGATTGGGCCCTCTGCATGGGAATGGGGGAATTATCTGGCTAGAGAAAAATAAGTAACTTCTGTTTTTTGGAGAAGCAAAGCTGCAAAGTAGCAATAAGCTGAGTATATGGTGTTTTGTGCATCGGCCTGGGGGGTAATGAATAATCATTTGTTGTATCAACAGACTTCTCGGGACCCATGACTACTTTCATTAAAAATGCACCTCAAGGGTCACTTCTCTTGATGGTGACCCATGATGATGGAAGCAGCAGGTAAGCAAGCATTTGTGTACCAGCCCAGTGCTAGAATAATAAATGGCTTACAACTCTTAGAGGAGAGGAAAGTGATCAGGAACAGTCAGCATGGATTCACCAAGAGCAAGTCATGCCTGACTAACCTAATTGCCTTCTATGATGAGATAACTGGCTCTGTGGATGAGGGGAAAGCAGTGGACGTGTTATTCCTTGACTTTAGCAAAGCTTTTGATATGGTCTCTCACAGTATTCTTGCCAGCAAGTTAAAGACGTATGGGCTGGATGAATGGAACTGTAAGGTGGATAGAAAGCTGGCTAGATCGTCGGGCTCAACGGGTAGTGATCAATGGCTCCATGTCTAGTTGGCAGCCGGTATCAAGCGGAGTGCCCCAAGAGTCGGTCCTGGGGCCGGTTTTGTTCAATATCTACATTAATGATCTGGAGGATGGCGTGGATTGCACCCTTAGCAGGTTTGCAGATGACACTAAACTGGGAAGAGTGGTAGATACGCTGGGGGGTAGGAATAGGATACAGAGGGACCTAGACAAATTAAAGGATTGGGCCAAAAGAAATCTGATGAGGTTCAACAAGGACAAGTGCAGAGTTCTGCACTTAGGACGGAAGAATCCCATTCACTGTTACAGATTAGGGACTGAATGTCTAGGAAGCAGTTCTGCAGAAAAGGACCTAGGGGTTACAGTGGATGAGAAGCTGGATGTGAGTCAACAGTGTGCCCTTGTTGCCAAGAAGGCTAATGTCATTTTGGGCTGTATAAGTAGGAGCATTGCCAGCAGATCGAGGGACGTGATTGTTCCCCTCTATTCGGCATTGGTGAGGCCTCATCTGGAGTACTGTGTCCAGTTTTGGGCCCCACACTACAAGAAGGATGTGGAAAAATTGGAAAGAGTCAGGCGGAGGGCAACAAAAATGATTAGGGGGCTGGAGCACATGACTTATGAGGAGCGGCTAAGGGAACTGGGATTGTTTAGTCTGCAGAAGAGAAGAATGAGTGGGGAATTTGATAGCTGCTTTCAACTACCTGAAAGGGGGTTCCAAAGAGGATGGAGCTAGACTGTTCTTAGTGGTGGCAGATGACAGAACAAGGAGTAATGGTCTCAAGTTGCAGTGGGGGAGGTTTAGGTTGGATATTAGGAAAAACTTTTTCACTAGGAGGGTGGTGAAGCACTGGAATGGGTTACCTAGGGAGGTGGTGGAATCTCCTTCCTTAGTGGTTTTTAAGGTCAGGCTTGATTAAGTCCTGGCAGGGATGATTTAGTTGGTGGTGGTCCTGCTTTGAGCAGGGGGTTGGACTAGATGACCTCGTGAGGTCCTTTCCAACCCTGATATTCTATGATTCTATGAACTCAGGGTGGCAACCTTCTGAGAAGCAAAAGTTGTTACAGCTTGAGCTATGACCAGGTTTAATCACTTACCTCCTTCTCTCAGTCATTTAATGCTGTTCCATTCAACACTTGCCCATATATAACACGGCCTGTACCTCTCAGACACTGAGATTACATGAAATTTGTTCCAACAATAAAAGGTACAAAAGAGAGAGAATCCCTCATAACATAGAATTCTTCTCTCTGCTCCCTTGTGCAAATTCATTGTCTCTTATTAACATCGGTGGAGTTGCACAGGTATAAGTGGGGGTAGAATTTGGTTCCATGAATTTTATGGCACATTACTGGACAGTTCTCCAGTAGAAGATACAGGAAGGCTTTAAAAATTATTCATTAATAAGAAATCAGAAATTACACCATAAAATATCAACAGACTATATCCTTTTTTACGTAACTTATTTTTAAAGTTCTGAATTTCAAAGTCTCCAATGTTAAATTTTTCAACTCTTCTACTAGATTAAACGATGGTGCAAAAAAAGCAATAGCAGAACTTGGCAGTAAAGAAATATGGAACATGAAGTTCAGGTCAAGCTGGGCCTTTATAGCTGCCAAAGGTTTCACTCTACCAGATGACATTCAAAAAGAAAAGGTAGGGTTTATTTTGTTTTCTGTTTTGTTTTTTAAAACTATAATTTTCACAAACCCTTCACAACCTTGTGTTTGTGACTTCTTTCTGGAAACAAGTTTCCAAAAGTGACTAATCATTTAGGGTGTGTCAATTTTTGAAAGCCCAACTTTTGAGAGACCTTTAAGGAGGTCTGAATTTCGGAGGGCAGATGCTCAGCATTTTCTGAAAATCAGGACCCTTTAAGAGTCTCAAGATGGACACCCAGGCAGATGCCCAAAATCGCAAGTCACTTTTGAAAATCTTGGCCTCCTCAGACTTGAGGAAAATTTAACAGGAATAATTTCTGTATCAGAACTTCTCCTTATAGCAGTGGTATTTTCATTTAAATGTTTCGTACAGTCCTCTTTCTGTGATGCAAGGAGGGGAAAGAAATCGATATGCTTGGCCCAGCTCAGTTTCCACAGATTTCTCTAGCTATTCTATTTGCCAAAGATTATTGGAATTATCCCTAGTTTCACATCTTTCCCAGAGTGTTGTTGGATGTTACTTACTGAAACAAATTACCTACAGGAAATACTTCAACATCATTGTCCTATACTATGAGGTCTTCTGGGCAATAAAGGGCTTGGGTTATAACATTCTGAGGAACGATTATATAATAGAGAATGAGGTGAGGAGGTGCCAGTTTAAGAGCAGCAAAATGTGAAGTGTATCTTATGATTTCCAAGCTCCTGCCCCCATATCTTTTCCCTCTTGCTACGCAGGGAGGCAGGAAGTTTTCCAGACTAGTGATGACTGTCTATAAACGATAAACTGAAGGTTGATTATTTTTTTTTTATTTTTATTTTAAACCAGATCAACCATTCTGACAATAGCAAGAACAGATATAATGGCTGGCCAGCTGAAATCCAGATAGAAGGTTGTATCCCAGTAAACCTGATCTGATCTTACATTTTGCTAATAAAGTCATATAAATTATTTTTATATATGGTTGCAGTCATAAAACCAATAAGCATCTAAACAGCTGCTATAAACTAATAAAGTCATATATACAATTTTAACCACTTGTCCTTCAGAGGTTGTATTCTGCAATTGGTCTGAAAGCAAATGCCTGTTTCGATGACAGGTGCAGATAAAATAATCCATTTTCTGGTCTGTAAGTATGATGGTATGGTAGCTCTGCCAGGATTATCAAAATGGTACTGTATTGTCACTGTGAATGGCAAGTCTCATTTTTTATAGGGTGCTTTCTGCTCTAGGTTTTAGGAGGAAACACGATATAAAACCAAATTCTATTTCTTCTATCACAGAATCCCTAGCCGTGAAACAGATTACTCTGATGCAGTGAATTGGTAATTCTTTATCTCCTAAGAAAAGTTTGAATTGCCATTACTTTTAATGTACTTGTGTACTGATGTTTAACCTATTCTAGCAATCACCCGAGAGTCACTTACAAGAATTCTATGCTTATTGATCTACACCCGTAAATTTCATGGGTTTGCTCCTCCATCTCCCCCCCCCCACACACACACCTTTAACTTACTGAAAAAAATTGTGCAAAATAACTTCATACAAAAGTCATGGAACTTACAAGATAGATGTCTAGCTTCACTATTCAGTCACTGTTGTGTGTGTTGGTTCTCTTCCATTTCCTTTGTTTGGATGTTGCCTGTTTAGACTGTAAGCTCCTCAGGTCAGACATATTATCGTTATATTTGTCTGTAAACCACCTAGCAGACTGTTGGCAAACCCCTTAGTAAATTCAGATCCGATCCAGTGTAGCACCTGCTGAATATGGCCTCATTCCTATAACTTGTCTAATGAAGTTTTCATCTAGATATAACAAGGCTGGCTCATACTGTAAGGCAGATGATTTACTGACACTTGTGGGCTGCTTAGGGTATGTCTGCACTGCAATTAAAAACCCACGGCTGGCCCATGTCAGCTGACTCGAGTTCATGGGGCTCCGCGAAAGGGCTGTTTAATTGCGGTTGTATCACCTTTGGGGTTTAGAGAGCATGGCCCCTTTAAATCTTTGTCCTGAGGAGGAGGAAGTTCTGTTTTGGCAGGAGGGAGCAATGAAAGAGGGAGAGCGACAGGGTGTGTGTGTCTGGAGCTCCAAGGGCTACAGCAATTAGGCCTCACAGAGTGAAGCAGCTGAGAACCCGCCCGAAGCCTGGAAGGCACAGAGTGGCCGATCAGGAACACCCAGGACAGGAGCCAGGGGGAGCACTGTGCCAGGGAGGAATCGCCCGAGAAGGACAAACCGGAGCTGGACCCAGTGTCGCTGCTGCCGTGAGCTGTGTTCCCTCTAAGGGCCCATCTAGGGCTGCCCAGCAGCCGTGCAGGCACGCACACAGGTGAGCGGGGAGAATGTGGAGGGCGGGGGCAGTGGGGTGAGGTGATGGGGGGGGTTGGGGGAGCTTGGGGCATGCAGGACTGGTGGGGGTTGGAGGGGGAAGAAGAGAGACACCTCTCTGCCCCAGCCTCAGGGCTGCAGCGGGGACAGGAGATGTGACCTGGGGTGCCTGGGGCAGCCGTCACTGGAAATGCCAAGGAAAGGGCAGGCTGCACAAGGTAGAGCAGATACTCCCAAGACTGGTGGGTAACACTGAAGTTAAACTCCCCAACCAGTCACAAACTGTGCTTCTAATTCCCCCCCCCCCCCCCCCCCCCCACTGGTTATTAAGAAGCAAAAAAGAAATCACACAGCCCTTTTATTGCATTCCAGTTCTCTGGCTCCCAATCAGCACCTAGGTCCAGTACAGTGAGAAGTTTATTTAAAAAACTCTGCTCACATATACAAAGTGTTCTTCTGACCCCAAAGGGTCAGCCATGTCACCGGGTCAGGATAGGTTTGGAGCTTACCCAAAATACCATGCTGCCAGCCAATCCTTTAGTGTCTAAAATTAAAGGTTTATTGTAAAGAAAAAAGAACAAAAAGAGTGTTAAATGGTAAAACAGTCACATACATACAAAGACTTCAGAGTCCATATATCCGGTTCCTAGCAGTCTTGGTGAATTTGCTGGCTTGAAAGTCCCTCTGGAACACATCCAAAGGTTGGTTACTCCAGAGGTAAGAAGCAGGACTGAAGACAAAATGGAGAAGATGCAGCTGCCTTTTATAGTCTTTTGCCATGCGGCTAGTGCTTCCCTTTGTTCCAAACACAAGCTGCCCAGCACATGGCCCGTATCGGCGGGTAGCAATAGATTTATCCGGGATCAATATATCGCGTCTCGTTAAGACGCGATATATCAATCCCCAAACGCACTCACCGTCGACTCCGGAACTCCACCAGAGCGAGCGGCGGTAGCGCAGTCGACGGGGGAGCCACGGCCATCGATCCCGCGCCATGTGGACCCCAGGTAATTCGATCTAAGATACTTCGACTTCAGCTACGCTATTCGCGTAGCTGAAGTTGCATATCTTTGGCCTGGTCTACACTAGGCTTTTATGTCGACTTTAGCGCCGTTATATCGAATTAACCCTGCACCCGTCCACACCAGGAAGCCATTTAGTTCGACATAAAGCTCTCTTTAAATCGATTTCTGTAATCCTCCCCAACGAGAGGAGTAGCGCTAAATTCGACATGGCCATATCGAATTAGGCTAGGTGTGGATGGAAATCGACGGTAATAGCTCCGGGAGCTATCCCACAGTGCACCACTCTGTTGACGCTCTGGACAGCAGTCAGAGCTCGGATGCTCTGACCAGCCACACCCCCGGGAAAATTTGAATTCATTTTCATTTTCCTGTCTGGGCAGTTTGAATCTCAGTTCCTCTTTGGACATCGAGGGGAGCTCAGCAGCAGTGGCAACTATGCAGAGCTCTCCAGCAGAGATGGCCGTGCAATCTAATAGAAAGAGGGCCCCAGCATGGACTGATCGGGAAGTCTTGGATCTCATCGCAGTGTGGGGCGATGAGTCCGTGCTTTCAGAGCTGCGCTCCAAAAGAAGGAATGCTAAGATCTACGAGAAGATCTCCAAAGCCATGGCAGAGAGAGGCTACAGCCGGGATGCAACGCAGTGCCGCGTGAAAATCAAGGAGCTGAGACAAGGCTACCAAAAAACCAAAGAGGCTAACGGACGCTCCGGATCCCAACCCCACACATCCCGTTTCTACGAGGCACTGCATTCCATCCTGGGAGCGGCCGCCACCACTACCCCACCCCTGACCGTGGACTCCGAGGATGGGATCATGTCCGCGGCCGGTTCCTCGTCGGACATGACAGCGGACGGGGAAGATGAAGAAGGAGATGAGGAGGACGAGGCAGTCGACAGCGCTGGCACCGCTGATTTCCCCGACAGCCAGGAGCTCTTCATCACCCTTACCGAGATCCCGTACCAACCGTCCCCATCCCTTACCCCGGACACAGAATCAGGGGAAGGATCAAGCAGTAAGTGCTGTAAACATGTAAACATTTATTTAAAACAGAACGGTAATATTTATACTATTAACAATGTACATTTATAAAAGTTCTGTAAACTAGTAAAAAAATAATCAGGTACAAAACAGGAATATTTACAAAGGTAACAAATGGGTTTTCATGATTTCTCTGTCTTAGGCTCTTCTCAATTTAGTCCCAAGTGTTTTAAAAAATTTTCACAATGTCCGTTACTACATGATTCCCAGGCCCAAGACGCTCCACTCCAAAGTCCCAGTGCACCTACGCGAAAATCCGGTCAATGTGGCCGGGGATCGACGAGAAATCCTCGTAGGAGAACTCCTCGTAGGTCTCGTGGAGGTAGAGCTCAAGCCTGTTGATCAGGTTCCGGGGTAGGGCGATCTTAGTGGGCCCTCCGTGGTAGCAGACATGTCCCCTCCACGCCACAATCAAGTACTCCGGGATCATCGCACGACATAGCATGGCGGCATACGGCCCCGGTTTCTGCATGCTTTCCCGCAGCATGCGTTCTCTCTGGGTGTCCGGGATCCTCAGGAGGGTGATGTCGCTCATGACGCCCTGCTTTGAATTAGGGAGGGGA